TATTTTATATACATACATATATATATAGATATCATCATATATCAGAAGAGGAAATAAAAAAACTGTTGGGTGCTTATCCATTTATGCTGAGAATCAGTGTTTTCCTCCAACATTAATTTAGGTGTAGTCTATTTGATATTTGGTACCATCACTATTAAACGCATTGTACAATTGCATTCTTATTTACTTGGCAAATACACACATCTACTCAGAGTTATTCAGCTAAATGTGCACAACAGTGACCCTATAAATAAACAGAACAAAAATCATTAATCGTGTTATGAATTGCTTACAAGTGTGCACCGTTAATACCGAGTTATTTCATATTCCAGACATCATTGGTTTGTCTATTGCTAAGTGTTTTTTCATCGCGGTTCAGATCCAAAATAAGATTAAAAGCGATACAAAAAAGGAGGCTCGTGCAGGTTTTCTATTCACTTATAATAGACTATCATGATTTGATCTGGTCAAAAACTATTTTTCAATAAAAAAATTATGAAGATATGCAACAATAACGAGTGGTGAACAGCCAAAAAGGTTAGGAATCACTGCATTGTGGGGTACTATCTGTATCTGTGCCACGCTGGCAGGCCTCTCATCAATCATAATTAGCTGCAGTTCGGATCAATTAACGGTGCATGCTTGAAGTAAAGATGAAGGGCTGAATATGAAAATCTCCCTGACAGGACAGGGTAGATGAGGGCTGATTGACAGGACGCCTCCTCACCCGATCGGGGTGCTGAGGCCAGGGTGGCTGCTTCCAGGTGTCTCGGATTTGTTGTAATTGACAGGTGCAGAGAGACGGTACGGGGTCCTGGCGGAGCTCTGCGCCGTTTATGCAGATTAACGCGTCAAAAGTACAAATGAATAAATAAACTGGTAAGCACAAATCAGGCACTTAGCCTGAGGGGATGCCGTCATTACCAGATTAAACAAAGTGACTAATCACAAAAACAATCCGCTTCTGAAGTGGAGGGAGTCAAAAGACGCCAAAGCTTGGGGGTGAAAAGCTAAGTCTTCTTAATTATTCAGCTAGCCAAACAAAGATGTGATATTATAATGAATAGAGCCGTGACAGATCATATTTTTATTTTTCAACAGCCACTGTAGATTATGCAGCTGCGGGGTGGCTGCTTTGATGACCGGCTTTGTTCAATATTTACATGAGGACATCGGGTGTTTTTGACGATGGAAATTGTGGAATTCAAACCAAATATGAGCCTCGAGGACGAGATCACAGGGATGGAACAAATTCCCTAAGCAGGCATCCAGCAAGGGTACCTAAGGTAGAGGCCTTGTGGGAATACTTTGGGTCAGTCTAAAGAAGAAGGTGAGAAAACAGATAACGAACAATCGAGTCCCACGCAGGGTGTTTTGACACTAAAAAGAAAATCCTTCTCCCTTTGAAACCCAAATGAGATGATGCGAGGTCATTGTTCCAAACACACAGCCATGCCACTGCCCATGAATCAAATCCTTAGATGATAGAGTCTGAGCCAGCCTTTCATGGTGTTTTTTTATTTGTTATATCACCGAGCTGACCAGAGCAGCCGTAACCTCAGCTTGAACTTCCTTCATGCCTGGACACAACTCAGCTGTAAACACATCACTTCTCTTAAATTGGCCTAAAAGCGCCCCTGGTTTCCAGACTTCCCTGCACTCGCCGCAGACACCAGCCTCCTTTGACCTTCAGACCAAGCCATGGCCTGAACCTCGGCTATTGATTTTTCTAACTATCTGTTTACTCCTCGTCTGCACACTTTCCCAGCTGCTTGGAGAGCATCGTTTGCCCCGAGGCGATCAGCAGGGCTCAGCTTGTTCCAGTCTTTGATCATCGTTCAGCCAGCGGATTAACATATGCACACTCTCTTCCTCCCTTTGTCGCTGAGCTTGATAATAAATCTACGGCCTCTCTCTCTCGCTCTCTCTCTCTCTCTCTCTCTCTCTCTCTCTCTCTCTCTCTCTCTCTCTCTCTCTCTCTCTCTGTGTCTCTCCTCCCTCTTTTTTGCTCCAATATGGGACGAGCCATGAATCAATCACCCCGCTTTACGCCTCGTGTCGGACATGGATGCAAATCACAGAAGGATCTGCGGGTAAATCTCTGCTTATTAAAACCCGATGCCTGACTCATTACAAACCGCTCATGCCCATGCATGTCGCCAAGATGAACAGCAGGTAGCTCCCGTGAAATACAGCAACATCGGTGGAGCTAAAACACAGACAGACGAGATTAACCGATTTCTGTGACTCTTATCTCAACGGAGGCCCAAACTAAACCTCGCCCACTTTGCCAAAACTCAAAACGAATGGAAGGCTAATGAAGTTAATTACGGCATCATTGTGGGAGGTTACAGCCTTGTCTAAAAGAGGCTTAATCTGAGGGAGGCTGCAGCGCGGAGGCTCGCATTCATACCTGCCCTCGCTGTGCAGTAAGTGTTCTAATTAGGTTGGTTTGAGCCTACAACCACCCCAGTTAGCTCACTAAGAGGGACAGGACTTCTGGGGTTTAGAAAAACAATCGCAAGAACTCTGAAAGTAGGACACTGACTAAATGTGTGTGAGACCGAGCAGAAAGAAAGTGAGCTTTTCCAGGTGGACAGGTTACCTTTCCCCCCCAAAAAATGCAACCTACGTGGTTTCTCTAATGGCCTCAGATGAGACACGCCCTCGCTCTCCATTGCCTCACTATTTTATTATGACCTAATTATATCAGTGTGTCAGCTAACGTAACCAGCACCTTGCCCTAAATGCAGCAATGCTCTCGTGGCTGAGCTTGTATTTGCAGACCTTATGTTTCAGAGCCGTGTACCATTTAACCACGGCTTCTCGAGGCACGCAGGGTTGTTTAGCCTGCTCGCCCCCCCCCTCCCCTCATTCACTCAGTCCATCAAGAATGCAACGGACGAGACAGAGGAGCACATGCAGTGAATAAAAATACAGTAACAACATGAGCTGAGGACTGGCAGCAGTAGGAGGAGGAGGAGGAGTGCATTTTGGACGAGTTCCCCTCCTCATCATCAGCGTGTCGGCCTGAGTGGGCCTGCGAGGTGCCGGAGCTGGGGCCCTATTAAAAAACCGAAGCCCAGCTTGCGGAAAGGATCCGTCCTCTCACCTCGGAAAACAACAACCCCACCCACCCCGACAGCGAGACAATCAGCCGTGCGCTGCTCGGGGTGAGGCGGCGGTGACCCGGCGTGCCGAGATGAGGCCGGTTCTACACACTGATGAGCGCTCTCACAGACATCAAACGGGGCGCCGCAGACCTCCCCACGACCTGCCGGTGCTGCCTTGTCTCCTGCACTCTGCTTTTATTTGAGGTTGATGCGGCTAGACGGATCGGCAAATATCGATCACGGCGCACTCTAAAATTCTCCCTCCAGGTTTGAAAGGTGATTACGGGGCCCTGGACCCAGCTGATGCAGACTGGGTGTGTGTATGTGTGTGTACATTTAGGTTTTTCATTCCCCACCTGTCAAGAAGGGCCGAGGACAGCCGCCCTATATTCTTTAGTTGGAGTGTCTCCAATCATCTGCAGGAGAGAGACGTCTTTAAAAGAAAGAAACAGACAGACAGGCGGGCAGGCACTGTACACCACAGAAAATAGGTTATAAAGCGTGGAGAATAATGCATGTGAATCCCAATCATCGAAATTCAAATGATTTGGATGCATCCCCAACCAGCCATCCTCTGCTTGTCTGCCTTCTGTCGAGGCCTCAGAACTCACCAATAGGATGGGAGGGAAACAGGCTGCAGATTCGGAGGGTTTGCATTAGGAATGGCCCGTTATTAATTAAGCTTGTGGGGAGAGTTTTTTGACAGCGGCTCCCGAGGCGGCGAGCGGTGTGGATCTTGGCGCTGACCTGGCCCAGCAGGGGAAGGAGCCGTGTCTTTGAGGTGGTGGCGGTGGTGGGGGTAGAATGGGTGGTGGGCGGGAGAGAGAGGAGGAAGGGAGGAGGGGAAGGGGGGGCTGGCTCCATGCCGACAGCCAGGCCTGCCACGTCTGCGTGCCCGCTTTGAAGTGTCACCTTGAGGGAAGAGCCGATGGCCGGGAAGCCGGGAGGGCGGGAGGCTCGGAGAGGAGTGGCACGGTTGGCATCGCCAGACATGGCGCTTTAATATTGCATGGGCTCCCGTCCATCTCTGTACACACTCAGGACATTCCTTCTGCTTGATTTAGTTTGAAAGTAGATCTTTGTTTGTTTTTTTCACCTCTCCTTTCCCCTCCTCTCTCGACCATGCTGCGGCTCAACACCTGTGCTGGGTTTGTGCTCACTCTTGCCTGAACAAATGTCAAGCTCTGCAGTCAGAGGAACTTTAACAACTGCCTGCGTTATAGGAGTTGACAGTGTTGCATCTGCTGAGTGATGCAAAGTATACAGCTTCCTACAGCATGACTATATCAAATAATTACACTGCAGAAGTCCTCTATCTTATCAAGTCAGTTTTACATTTTTGCTGTTAGAAAAATGTATTACATTTTTTAAAAAAAGCAATCGTAGAAACGACCATCTGTTTCTTGAAACGTTCAAAATGAAATACCAAAACTGTCTGTTTGAATCCTCTTTGTTAAACACAGGATCTGAAATAATGTTGCAGATTTCAAAAGGTCATTCTGAGTGATTTGAGTACACTAATGTTTTCTACATGCTGGACTTGGAGTTAGAACAAACTCAACTCCATTTTCCTCTACCTTCATGCATATTGAAACTAGCAAGAAAAAACCCAGTCTTCTAAATGCATGAAATGATTCATCTGCAGAGGAAACTGACAGACTTTCTTCTTCTGTTTAAGAAAATAACACTTTAAAGACCAAGTTAATAACAGAAATGACTTGACTGGTAAATCGATAATGCCTTATTGGCCGAGATTCAGCAAAAATCTGAAGAAATATTAATTCTGTTGTTGCTAATTGCCTATGCCGCTTTCATCACTTCATCAAATGGCATCTTCCTTTGCGAAAATGAAGCCGTTTCACTGGGGACTAAAGTTAAACTTTCAACATGCCTCTCCAGTCGCGCTGTGTTTGCCTGACCTGCTGCCAGCGCAGTTACAGAGCGCGGCGGAGAATCAAACATGGCGTTAGTTTGAGGAGATGCAAGAGAGGGAGTTTATCTACAGAGGCTGCAGGAAGGAGGTGTTTTGAAGTGAGGAAAAACGCATTTAGAAAAACACTCACACTTCACGCACTTTCTACCCACTTTAACAACCGTCCCAGTTCACAAATAGCAGTCTTAACTCCCCTGATTAGCACTGACATCTGCAGCCTTTCATCTCTCCCTCCATCTTGTTTTTTTAATCAGATTAACCCAAACGGGCATCCTTTAATGGCCTCTTTTTTTAGGAAAGCTAAAAGAGGAGAGATAATTAAAATAATTAAACCGCTGGGACCCGTCTGTGCACGCTCATCTCGCTCTCTTTTTCTTTTCTTCTTGCCTTCAAGTTTTTATACCGCCTTGCTTACGGATTCAAGCAGCACAGAGAGAGAAAGACTCATCATCCTCACTTAATTGCATTAAGTTGACTCTCGGAGGTCCAATTTTTCCCTCTAACGGCAACAGCCAATGTAGGAACTGATCTTTAGGTGCATGTCAGCTTTCTAAATGTGGAAGTAGAGGGGGGAGGGCACGCTTCTAAACAGCCTTTACGGAGCATATTTATTTAGTCAGTGGGTGTTTTTGCATAAGGCCGAAGATAGAAAAAGAAAAGCGGGAAAAAGTATCCTCTTTAATGATTATTTATTCATGGACTTTTAAGCTTTTAATGAGGACAAATTAAGCCGTTTTCCAGAGTGTCAGTATGTAGTATACTTACCAAAAATATTCTTGTTTAGCATTTTCTTTTAGCACTGTGTGTCCGTAAGGAATAAACACTAACATTTGAATATAACTACAAGTTTGGAGCGAGACTTTTAAGCGATCAGTTTATCTTGATCTCGCATTAATATCAAATTTCACACAAGTTAGGATCTGATGAGGATGATTTATTAATTTTCAGTGTTGCTTCTTATAGGGCTAAATTGATAACATGTAATTAATGACCAGTGAATTAAAAACAAATGGTTTATCAGAGATGCTTTTCAAAATAAATACATCAAATTGAAACATACACAGGAACTTTATCAATCAGTGAACTATCCGAACTTGACAAATGTATTCTCCTTTATATCAATTATTCACTCCTGTGTAATTTATTTTCATTCAAATGAACACATGTGTCGCACGTTTGTACCTACAACTTCGAAACTGACAACCGGAGAATAAAAAACTAGGGTATACCGCTCCGTCTGAGTTATATTTCTTCGCTATAGGTGTACACATCTCCAATATTATAATTACACATCTTCAGATGAATTCAAACTTTACTTCCTGTCAAATAGAAGAACCTAATGAATTCTTGCATGAGGATTTTACCGAGAGCATGAGCCCCGAACATCCTCCTCAGAGTGTAGCCCCAACTTTACACAAGCTCGCATGTCTCCCCCCCCC